GATCATTTTAATTACGGTTTTTTTTTTTTTTTTTGAGGTTTTTCCTTTCGATGATGGAGGCAGGATCGTTTGGGTGGACTGTTCCAGGGGTTGTACCGTTGTATGTTTCTCTATATTGTTCATATTTTCTAAATTTGACCTATCATCAAAGGGCGTCCCTGATCAGTTAATCCCCTGGTTTCAGGGGCAATCAATGCTGGCAGGGGGAGGTCTTTTTTTTTTTTTTTTTTTTTTTTTTTTTTGTTGGGGGGGGGTTTTTTTTTTTTTTTTTTTTTTTTTTATTATTATTTAATTTGGACCATTTCTCGATTTATGTGTGTCAGACTTGCGCAGGGGCCATGCTAATCTTCTCTGTATGGTTCCAATTTTAACGGATGTCCCGAAGGACAGGGGGAGGTCTTCTAAGACTTAATTTTTTCCAACTTTTCCAAACAAGTTCTCAGATTGTTCTTAGCCAATGCCAGGTAATGGCCCTGGTGAGGTCACTTGGGCAAAAGGAAGAAATGGCTGGGGAATACTCGGAGCCCAAGGAATTTCCTTCGGAGTGTTTCCACTTTTTTTTTGTCCGACTGCATCCCCGAGGATAGGTGGAATGAACAATTCCTCGGGGACCTTACGCGCCCGAGGAGTTCTGTCCCAAAGCACTGATGTCATTCTCCTATTCCATTGTTTCTTTTTTCTCCCTTGCTTTCAGTGCCAGTTCACACTGGTGCAATTTTCTGCATTCCGTTTTTTTTTTTTTTTTTTTTTTTCCCTTCTTCTTCCAAGCCACCACTACCTTTCAGGCGTGGAGGGGAAGTGGTGGATATAGCCTATACCTCATTCTTCGGAGGCCAGACGAGGCTAACCGCTCCCTAACCCGCGCCAGCCAAAAGAAAACGAAAAACGCCGCGCTGGAGCTTCGGCCAGCGCGCAGCTCTACTCTGCCTCGCCAAAAAAAGAGGCTCGGAGGTAGTGTTTGGTTTTAAGGATGCCCCTTCTGTTCTCTGGGGAGGAGCGGTCCAGTTCTTTTTTTTTTTTACCCGAGGAAAGGCTCCATCTATTAGTGGGGAGCGTCACCTGCTGGAAAACGGGTCCAGCGTCCCTTGTACAAGGTAATTCAGAAAATAGTCAGAATAAGAAGAAGCTGAGAAAATCCTGCCAGCATTGATTACTCTGAATTCAGAGGATTGACTGAGCAGGTTGTTGAAAAAAGCTAATATCAACCTTCTCCCTTCCTACTGTACCTCACCCCCCCTTGCCAATTCTTCAACTGGAATCCATGTCCCACTTTCCTGATTTGGAGACACGAAAGGGAGCGGTCCGGTTCACCAACACTGGCAGCAATAACAAGAACACAAACTCACACACACTTTTCCCCATCAAGGTTGACATCCATAGCCACTGCCTCTTTTTTTTTTTTTTTGACATAGCCACTGCCTCTTCGTAAACAGCAAGACAAATTTCCTGAACTGCGAATCAATCGGCCAATCAGGATTGATTGATTTTCTATGCTACATGTTGTGCTGTCATTTCCATATTGAATGCAGCTGCGTGCTGGACAACAAAAGAGAAAGCACCAAATAAATAGCTCAAAATTTTCTTAGCCAAAGCCCGGGTAATGGCCCCGGTATCTCAAACTTTCAAATTAAATGTACATTTCCATATGGGACGCTGGGCCCGGTTCCCAGCACGTGCTGCTCCCCACAAATAGATTTGAGCCTTGTCCCCATTAAAAAACAAAAAACAAAAAAAAGGGGCTCCGATCTGGCCTCCAAACACGGCAACTGTATACCCCCCAGAAATAGATTGGAGCCTTATCCCCATTAAAAAATAAAAAACAAAAAAAAAGGACTCCGATCTGGCCTCCAAAGAGGGCAACTGTATACCCCCCACAAATAGATTGGCGCCTTGTCCCCATTAAAAAACGAAAAACAAAAAAAAAGGGCTCCGATCTGGCCTCCAAAGACGGCAACTGTATACACGGAGGAGAGCCACCTTGAAAAACTGCAGTATGTTGGGATGAGAGGTGGACACCTAAAAAAAAAGAGGAGGAGGAGGGGGGGAGACGAAGGGGGTAAAAAAGAAGAGGTGAATCAGCCACCTTAAATACTGCAGGCTGTTGGGATAAGAGGTGGACACCTTAAAAAAAAAAAAAAAGAGGTGCACACCTAAAAGAAAGGCTCCTAAGTTCGGCAAAATTTTCCGTAAAAAGGGTGCACCTTAGAAAAAGTTACCCTCCACAAGAGCCATACAACAAGCTGGAAAAATGATGTGCCTTTATTCAAGTCTGTTATTGGCTATCAGTGCCTATCACAAGCATCAATCAGGAGTGCAATTTTTATTTTATTTTATTGGTTTTTCGTGCGGAGTCTGTCATCTGCAAATTATAACTTTCAAGACATTTATCTCTCTCGGAGATGTATGTACGCGTGCAATTTATTTGTTATTGCTTCCCTTTTGGTTTTTCGTGGGGAGTCTTTCATCCGCAAATTATAACTTTCCAGACATTTATCTCTCTCGGAGATGTATGTACGCTGCAATCAGACTCGCTTCCACTTCCACTTCACATACATGCAAACAGATGGAGATTCACACTGGCGCAGGGCGCCCACTCAAAGCTTAGAGATATGGAAACCAAGAACACA